TTTGACTCAAAAGGAATTAGAGGAGGAGATCGTGATGGTTGAAGACAATAACAATGAAAGTCGTAAGAATTAATTGCATTTACGTATTCTTATGTATTGTAACATTCCATTTCTTGTAAATTAATGCTAAAAATAAAGTAAAAAAATATTTACAGAACATATTGACGCGGTCTATATTCCACCCAATGTGAATGCCTTGACTGACGAAGAAGATATGAACGATAACATAAATCTACAAGAGTTTGGGGAACCAACTGATATAGTTGGAACGTTCGAGTTACATACACCTAATATAGCTGATGAAACCCTGGAATTCAAAAGTAGACGTATGCTTTCTGCAAACGACAAGCTTGATTCTACTTTCAGATGGAAATGAGCTCACTCTCACTCTCACATACCTGTATCCGATGAACTTAGATCATGTGAGGAACTAAAAAATAGGCTTTCTGGAAAAACTCCGCTTGAAATATTTTTCCTGTTTGTTGATGACGAAGTGATTGATTTGATTTGAAATCTTGCATTGCTTTGCGGCTTTTAAAAACTGATAAAACAATTACTCAAAGAAATCTTATACCTGTCATAGATGAAGTGCGTTATGATAATCAAGGTCACCTCATGATTGTTCAAGGAGGTGTAGAATCTGCCACAGTCTACGTTTGTAATAAGTGTAATGTGTATTTACATACTTCATGCTTTGTAAAATATTACCAAAAATGAAACCGGGTGTTACCAGTAGGACCAATACCAATATTATGCGTTTTTTGGATCAAATCAGGTTCTATTTGGAAAACAACCTACTTTTAGTTGTTTTCTGTCGAATTTGAATTTTCTTTTGTATATTTATGTATAAATGATATGTTACATCTTATGTGCCCCAATACATTATTTAATGTTTTTCCCAGTGGTTCGTTTACGCACCAGTATTTTTTTGTATATTTCGAGATTATTTTTTTTTTTGACACATTCTTAAGTGCAAGAAAATAAATAATGCCGGAGCAAAAAAGCACTTTTTTAATTTTTTTTATGCTTGGGATAATATGGGTTAATATAGTAAAGGCCAGGAAACTATAATGGGCAGATCACGTAAAAAGAATTTCCCCAAGAATAGCCCCAAGAAAAACGTCCTTTAGTCTAAAATGGAGGGATAACAAAGCAATCAACCAACTAGCCAACCTAGGAGCAATGAATAATCAAGATGGCCTGCAAATAATAGAAGATAGAAGTAGATGTGTTACAGTGGACAAAAACCCACCCAAGGGATGTGAAGGAGAGAATTTTTGGAACGCTCATACGTCTCGCACGGGTTAAACTAAAGAGGACGGTTAATTCTACCGATAAATGGCGTACTACGGCCCACTCGAGCAAAATGTTTGCCATTAGTGCCATTAGTTGCGGAGCAGGCGACGGTAGAATGAAAAAACGGCGCCAAAAACAAACAGCCTGTCACGCATCGTCGACCGTTTGCCTACGTATCTATAATTTATTTTTTGTGAGATCGAAGAAATTGCGCAAGGAATCCGCTACGACCGCGGCGGTACCGTTATGCGAGTGGGCCGCGCCCGTTCGACGGGCGATCGGAGAAAAAAAAAACGCTCGGTATAACAAACGGGCGTGCATAAAACAAACTCGAAACGGAACGAGGAATGTTATGCTCTCGAGAAGCGTTAAATATCGCTTGCGCAAAATCGCCGGGGCGCCATTTTCACGGGAAACGTTACTTTCGACTTTCCCCGTACCCGTAGTGAGCGCGCCCTTGTCGTTTTTGCAGGACCGTCGAAGGAAAGAATCGTCTAATTTGAGTAGCGAGATTGGAAAAGTCAAAAGTCGTAATAATTTGTTCAAACTGAATATTCTCTTACACGTCTTAGTTTTTCTAAATATTCTCCCAGACGGGAACGTATTTTTAGTTCTCTTTTTCTATGTCGTTATCTTCTCCAATATAAATTTCTTTTCTCGAGTTCAGTTTTTCTTCCATTCCATCCGACATCGCTTAGCAAGACGCGACCCGCCAAGTAATTTGCAAAAAAAATGAGTTTCCCCCTAAATATTAATAAATATTGCAAACGAGAATGCATTCCATGTTTTAAAAAAAAATCTATCTGTTTTTGCAATACTTATTCCAAGTTTGTTTTTTCTTTTTTATTAATTGTTCCTTATATCTTAGAACTTTAGTAACAGTTTTCTTTTGAATAGCTTCTTAAAAGTATTTTCAAAGTAATGTTCTTGAATGCACATCTGATGTCTCCATGTTCCGAATAAAATCGATTACACAAATTTTCAAAACTATGAGCTCTCTCGTCCTTATAACATTTTTTCTACTCCCGTCTATAAAATACCTAAGCCACCGAGCCATTCGGACATTTCCGGGATTTTACCGCACGGGTTTGGGAGCGATCGGATGTTTTCGGAGATATTTCCCACGCTTTGAATTTTGACGTTTGTCAATTCTGACAGTCATGTCGGTGAATGTATTCGTGTTTCGCGAAAATGTACCCAATAGTATATTATGCGACAAGTGCGGTAAACGGCATTTGACTCACGAGTTTATTTGACACAAGCGGAGCGAGCGTTTAATAAACCAGTGAGTCAAAAAGTTTACCGAACGTGTGCATACTATACTTTTCCTACGACCGTTAGTTTTTGGGCACATTTTCACAAAGCACGAATACATTCACTGACATGACTGTCAGAATTGACAAACGTCAAAATTCAAAGCGTGGGAAATATCTCCGAAACATTCCGATTGCTCCCAAACCCGTGAGGTAAAAACCCGGAAATGTCCGAAGTGGCTCGGTTTCATGGGAAACGAAACTGACGTGGTAAAGCGATGCTTCCCGCACGCTAGATCGGTGCGTAATTAGGTATTTTGCAGACGGGAGTAGAAAAGCTTTTTAACTCACTCGTTTATTAAACACTCGCTCCGCTCGTGTCAAATAAACTCGTGAGTCAAATGCCGTTTACCGCAGTTGTTGCATAATATGCTATAACGGAATGCTCTTGTAGTTTTTTACATTCTTGGTACTGCAACCCTTGTGTATTTTGGTATATTTTTCAACTTTGTTCATTTCACTATTGTCTCATTTCTCAATATATTTTGCTCAATTTTAACATATTGCTCCTTCTTCTTCTTGTTCATAGCGCTCTGTATCTTATCAGTAAAAATACAAGTTTTTCGCTGAATGTTTTTTTTCATTATTTCTATAATCTTATTCTATTTCTGTTATATAATATTTCTCTGCACTTTTATAATATAATAATAAAAAAAAAATTATACGAATATGGAGCGTATTATATTAGTTCTCAATATATACTTTTTCTTTACGCACATTATTTATAACTTTCTATTGCCAGTTTCTCAATATCTCTATAGATATTTTTTTTGCATATTTTACGTAAAAATATTCTTCTATTTTTGTTTTCCATGTTGTTCGCTTCTCAATATGCATTGATGCATGTTTTTCGAGATCTCTCTGTATCTCAAATCTGCATGTCTGAATTTTAAAATTTCTTCAAAAAGTATTTCTTCTAAATTCTTCACAAGTGATTTCCGTTATTCTTTCTGCATAATGAATACAGGGTGTGAGTTATTAAAGGACGATTTTCTCCAAAAATAAAATAAATTTAACTGAAATAATGAAATTTATACAGGGAAGTTGGTTAAGTGGTACTTCTGTTTAAAGGTCTTTATTATACTTTTATGAATAAGTTAAGTTTACTAAGTTTGATAATTAGGTCAAAAAATTTTTTTCCGCATTTTTGAAACGATTTTGCAAAATCCGGGAGCACGTCAATTTATTTTGAAAATAACGAACAATTTAGCTACTTGCAAATTATTATTGAAAGATCCCTCGTCAGGGGGCGAGATTCAACATTCCGTTAAATTTTTGAAAATATCTCTAATAATTTTTGAGATGTTTGACTTAAATTATTAGCACAGAATACACAAAAACATTTCTTAATTAATATCACGTTATTTTTAATTATATTTATTAATCTACTAGAATAGTTACAAATAATAAAAAGTGTTTTTATTTCTTGTTTACTTTTTGTTTTATTTTGTAATTTTAATAACCATGTATTTTTCTCTTTGTCATTTTAAAGTTTGATGTAGTAAACCAATTTTTAACTTGCTTGTTAACTAACATCTTCTAAGCGAGTATATCACTCGATTTCCCGTGCCCTACAAATGTCGTATTCTTGCGTCAAGCTCACCTCTCTAGACGTGAATAGATTTTACCAGTAGGTACCCAAGAGTTATTTTTTTTTTAGTTGATTTATTCCACCCAACATAAAATTGGACTTGTCTCCATATATCATCAAAGTATAATAACAATTATATATAGAAGAATTTTTAGTGCGCTTTGTTTAAAATTATATGGGTCTCGACCCTCACAATGAAAATAGTACGAAAATTTTAAAATGTTTAGAAAATTGTAGCATTAATTGTTTTCTGTTTTAACGTTTGAAGCAACATCTCAAAAGTTAGTCGATGAAATTTTCAAATTTTAACAATGACCCTTAAAAAGAGGTGCCCTAAATCTCACCCTTTGAAGAGGGGACATTTCACAATATCTAAAATGATTTTCGAGAAAATCAAGGTCCCTGGACATGTTTAACGTGTTTTTAGTTTTTTACATTCTGTTCGTCTCCCTATACATTATTTTTGTATAAATTCTCCAAACTGCCACAGACTCTAATCTCTGAGTATCTTAAAAACTTGTTTCATATCTTATACCATCTTCTTTTAATTAATTGACATATTAATGTATATTACACCATCAGTATTATTTTATGTTCTTATACAGCTAAAATAAGGTTTTAAATAAATGAAAAGTTTTCTTTCATCCTATAGTCTTTCTGCCTCGCGTAGGGGATTTCCCCCCAAAAATCTAATAATCCGAAACAGACCAATTTTTAGCTTGCTTGTTAACATCTCTTAAGCGAGTATATCACTCGATATCCCGTGCCCTATAAATGTCATCTTCTTGTGTCAAGCTCACCTCTCGCGGAAAATCCGGCACGAAACAAACAAACAAAATGGCGTCTGCGGCCTCCAGAAAAAGGAGCGGTCCACTGCGTTCACCTGGTTTATGGCGTCTCAACACGACGTCGCCGCATCGACTAAAAAACTTCGGCAAATTAAATCCGTCGATCCTGGCGGCCGTACGTTCGTCCAAGGCCTCAAACGCTCGTAGTTTAGATAGATAATGCGCTGCCCAGTTTCTCTCTCGACTTAGACGGGAACCGGTTCGTATCGCCTTGACATGGTACTCGCCAAGTGCATTGTCGCGTAATTAGAAACCTTTACGAGATACGCGTACGCGATACGCCACCTGACGTGTCAATCGGCGTCGCGATGCGACGTAGTTCGCGAGGCGGCCGCGGGCGGCGCCGCCATCGCCCGAACAACTGGAGCGTACGGTTACGGGAACGCCCCGCGCCTTATTAATCACGCTAATTACGCAATTACCGACAATTACGGGAGATTAATACGGTCTGGTGCCCGGCCGTATCGCGTAGATTATTTTTGCTCCCGCGACGCTTATTGGGCGCTACGATCCCGGTCGATCTAAATAACAACCAGACTCGCAAAGCACACGGAAACATAACCTCAACTTTCATCTCTCTTTCTCTCACTGTCGCCGTCTCTTAATAGAGCGTCACCATCTCTAGGAAAATTTCCCTATTTTAGGGAAATTTTGCCACTTCTAGGGAATTGGGGAAAACTGCGTGAGTCCAAGGAAATTTTAAAAGCCGCGAATCAACTTTTTTCTTATCGTAAAACATAAATTCAAGCTAAAAGAAAATTTCTTTTTTTTTTTTTGCAAAAATTTGCCAACATAAAGCAATGTAAATCCATCTCAGACCCGGGGACTAAGTCTCTTACATATGGCCTTTCTTCAATGAATTAAAATACAATCTCAATTCAATTCATTTGTTGTAAAACAAAAATTTCAGCAACGACAAGGGGGCTAATGGATATGTTTATTAAACGAGACTATCTCGACAAAATGACAGCAATTAATCATATTGAATTGAAAAACGCATCTAACTTATGAAAAATACTCTAGTTTTCATGAATTAGACTAAATAATCAGTTGTGATTTTGTAATTTCTGCTCAACTAATATACCTATACAGGGTGTATAGGAAATTCAATTAATCGAATGTCAAATGTTGAATTTTAAATATAAAACTTCATATGAATATATGTCCCAAGCGTCTTAACTTTTGAACTACCATTAATACCACACATATTTTAATGAAATTTTACACACATGTACGATGTATCAAGAGGAATTATTGATTATTATTGATATCGATGATTATTGATGATATGCCAATAATTTCTCTTAAAATAAAGCTATTCTTACAATCTCCGATCTTTTCCAGAAAAAATTAATAAAATAAAATATCCATCTAAAACTTACTTTTACAGTTTTAATGAATTAACTTAATATCCTAATAGGTAGGTAGGAGCTAGATATTTATGTTTAATAAAAAAAGTTTTATTTTCCGAAATTGGCACTTATTTTTATAGCTATCAACTTTTTCGAATAAGTTTATAGCCAATTAAAAAAATACAGTAAGTAAATAAATAGGGAAATTTCAAATACCGCGTAGTGAATTTATCGTGAACTTTGGTGGTAACACTGTTGTATTGTCTATGGTGCTCTGGTGGAAAGGAAGCAAATTCTTCGTTTAAACTAAAGATTCGACAATAATAAATTGTATAGTAAAAGCCATTTTCAATACTAACCTAAAAATGATGCGTGATCCCCACGTTTCAATTTGAAAATAATTTTCAACGCGATAGGAAGTGGTTTCTAATTAAAAAAAGTAACTATGAAAAACTTTGAAAATTAGCAAGTTTGGAAAGCTAATTTAGATTTACAAATATTCGCAAGTAGATGACATAATTTAAAATGCACTTATAGGTGCATCTAGGTACAGAACTTGACTGTCAATTAAAGTGGCCCAATCAAATAGACTATGTTTCATAAAAATTTAATAGTTAACAGTATTCAAAAAAACTAGCCCTCCAAAGCATATTCTATTCTGGTGGTTTGACCAACATCTTTTTTTTTTCTCCTGACTTCACAGGAGTCACCCACAGATGGAAAGATTAAAACTCTCTGCACTATGGACTGTTTTTGGATTCTCTTGAAGAATATTTCTCACCTCAAATCGGGCTATGACGATTTCGTTAGCCACCAAACTCTAACGCTCGCAAGGCACGAAATCCTTCTTCGATCAGGCGCTCTTTGACCTTCCCCTTTTCCCCGCAAGACACATTGAAGTCTGACTTTTAACGGTATCGATTAGTTCAGGGGTGTTAAATTAGTATGACTAGTTTTGTGTCCGTGGGATCTCTCTGTATAACCATAGTTCAAAAGATTTGGAGTTTGGATACGCTTTCTTCTCTCAGGGTCCATGTTTCTACTCCATAGATATTTCGACACGATTCATTTATCATGGTTTCCAGATATTCTGAGACTCGCTCTATTGTCGTCTGATTTGTATATAAGTTTGCTCCCTTCATGCTTTTTTTGCTAATGATTAAGCTTAGTTTTACTATTGTTAATTTCTAGTCTATGGGTTTTCGTTGTTTCTGTAATTTTGTGGGCCTTCTATTGTAACATCTTCATAATGCAGGTTGTTAAGGCTGTATATATTGCCTAGGTCTGTGTCAACTATGTCTTACACCACGCAGGATTTCCACCTGATCTATATGTTCTCCATCTATTCTGAGGACTGAGGAATGATTTCAATATAGGTTGGCTATTATTCTAAGATTTTTTCCGTGTATTTCAGTTTTCTCAGTACATCTATCATTTATACATGTCTAACACGATCAAACGATCAGTATGGTGGGATTTGGGCACATATATGCGATAATTCCTTTGGTGGATGACTTTTACGACTAAACTTGTTATTGGATAGTCTCCATAGCATTTGGGGCTTCCGAATGTAGCTGCTGCTGCTGAATGTAGATTTGTTCTTCAGTATCTCCGCTGGAATTTCTGGGAGCATTTCAGATCAGGTTACGTTTAATGATAGATTCAGATTGTGCTTTTAGGTCATGGCAATGGATCTCTTAATTATCTTTTCCATACTTTTTTTGTCTTCCTTATCTATGATATTTTCATGTGTTTCTTTGCCGCTGTTGTTATTCTGGATTTTCTTGGGCTACTTGTTTTACTTGACGATATTAAAGTTCTGGTATCGCCTCTGATGGAACTCTATTTCCTGGCTTTGTGCCATTTTCTTCTTTCTCTTTAGTTTCTCTTATCTTCCTTATAATAATAGGTGATCTAGAGATCAACCACTTACTTAAGAAAAGTCGATAGTGGAGCAGGTTTCAGATGTTGGCCAGTGGCTTCTTTTCACTTGATTCGAGCTCTGGTTTTATGCTTTGACACATTTCGGTAGTAACGCAGCGTTGCCCAGTTTACCAACTTTTCATGACAGTTATTATTCTCGTTCTCCTTTCAACCCAAACTGTAAATCATCTAAAAAAAAAACGGAATAAGCAACGGCTAATCACGGCGCCGACGCCGAAGGGTTAGTAAGCATTCGCGCGACGACGTCGGACGTCTCCTGCAAAAATTTAATATCCGCGGACTGCTCCCTCCCGCACGTCCCAGCGTCCGTTTAATAACCTAAAATTCCTACGGGTCCCCCTCCGTACGTGCCCTGTACCGTTACGCAAAAGTCGCGGAAATTCAATTAGAATCGCCATTTTCGAATCGGCAAATGGCGGCCGCCGGCTGAGATCACGACGCGGGAACAAGTGAAAGTCGCGCCGCCGCATAAAAGTAGCAAGATGACGAGAGCAGGAACTCGTATGTGTCGGTCTTTATTTATAAACGATGATGGGGTAATATGTTTTCGATTTTCCAATTCATTTTTCTCGTCCTCGTGCCGATACTAGATATGGTTTATCAATTCTGATTCGCTACCAGGGTCTTTCAGTTTACCAGAATCCGGAACGAATCGTGGTAACGGATATCAACTCCCGACTCAATGACGGAAAAGATAGTTATATCTCGGAATCTAGGATAGTTCTAAAGGGAGTTCCTACAAATATTTTGTGTATTGCGTTTATTGATAATTTTTTTGAAGTTTTTGGCGACAATACTGTTTGTGTTTCCGATAGCAATAATAATAATAACTATTTAGTGATAGATCCAACGTCATGCAAGCTTACTACTGGTGTTTTATTGTCACGACTTAAACAAAAGGTTTTTAGTAAGACGGGACAAGACGTGAGTTTCGTCAAGCTTAAGGTTAATTCAAAATTAAAAAAATTGGTTTCCACAGATCCTTTTGATCAAATTTGATTTGCATTAACCACGCATGTATTTTATTGGAAATTCTCTTTAAACAGGAGTGAATTATAGCGGATTTTTTTTGAAATTACGGAATTTTTTTACGCTATGCTTTTACGATTAATTAACATAATTTTAGATGTCTTCTTAGCGGCTAATGCTTCAATACTTCCTCAACAAGTCGGAGTAAATTTTCTTCCTTTGAATGGCAATCTTTTATTTTTTTCCTTGGTCCTTTTGAATTGCCGGTCAATCTAACGTTAGTCAAATTTTCTTGAGCGCCATTTAGCGGTTCTTCTGGATGATGTACCACTCGTCTTGAAAGAAAATGCATTGCGTTGCCAGGCGCCGATATTTACATGAGCAGTTTCCTCTTCGGTAGATTGGCCGTGTTTGGCCACCAAACTGCTCAGATTTAAACGCTCTTCACTTTTCGATGTGGTCACACTTGACGGCTTGGGAATACGCTGAATTTTTTGCGGAAGTTGCTCCAGAAAATTAAAAATAAAAATGATAGAAAATTTTTGCTTAACATTCAATTTTTTTTTATTACTATTACCAAAATTTTTATTGTCAAATACAGTTTTTTTTAAGACCCCCTCCCCACCCTATCGCGTACCATTACATATTTCTAGTATTTATTTAAAAGATACTAAAAAATAACTTTAACTGTTTAAATGCAAATACTTCAAAAATCGATAGAGTTAGATTTTCTTAATCATTTAAACTCTATACATCTTTAGATGCATTACATGCATTTTACCATTGAATTAGAAACCAATAATAATCTATTTTCTTAGATATTTTTATTAATAAAAAATCAGACCTATGATTGAGATGCTTTGGCACATCGCCATCCGACCCAGAGGTCATCGGTTATCAGTTCGTTTGTTTATAGAGTCGTAAAACAATCCGAATCGCTGGACCCAGGATTAATACACCTAATATCTATTGTTGGAACGCTATATGGTTCCAAATTTACGAAACAACGAAAGAAATATATTTTCTACGTCGCCGCTGACGGGTGGGGTGCTCGCGTCCGAAGACGATATTGGGAATAGTTGCGAAAGAAAAGCAATAAAGGTCCCCGCTAATTAAAATTTCAAAGTGTCGGGGAAAACAGAGACATGGCATAGACGTCGCCGCTCGCCGCCCCTCAACCCCCGTCGCTCCGGAGATCGAGAAGCCAGAATGGGGCGGAGAAAACTTCCGAGCGGATCT